GTTTCCAGTTTAAAATGATACTTCCTTCCCTATCCCCTTCCAACACAAATGGTATTTGAGCATTCTCCATTGTTGGGGAGTGGAATCAGCTAGGACTCTTGTAATCAACAAAAAGTGTTTTGGGATAGCACAAGCAAAAAGGTTATCTTTTATAAAGGCCCAAGGATATTTAGCAGAATAAGAGGACATTAATGCAGCATGTTTGTGGGAACAAATTGGAAGCAGAAAGTATTATCTTTGACTTGTTTCTGAACCTCTGCTTTGTTGTTCAGTGTGCAGCCAACTACCATGGTTTATATCTATTAGGAGCCAATAGCCCTCTAATTCACATCTATTCTCTTCAACACTTAGTTCCCACTTAGTTCCCATTTCAAATTCTTTGGAAAGGAGTCTAATTGGGTTCAGCTTGGGTCAGGGGCTTACTTACAGAGCAAATCAACTGTGGCCAGGGGACAAGGTGCACTGTGAGCATGGGGCTTCTCTTTCCACAAACTTGTGGTTGACAAGAGGAGGTAGACTGGACTACGTGATTCGCGGGGCCCTGTGCAAAACAAAAATGCAGGGCTCCTTCGTTCAAAAATTATTGAGAATTTCAAGACGGCAATAACAGAATATTAAACAAAGCATGGGGGGCCCTTCTAAGTGTGGGGCCTGTGTGTGCGCACAGGTCTCAGGCATGAAGCTGCTCCATGCTCTGGACCTGGAGGAAGAGTCTCCAAATGCAGTTTTTAGACTCCATATGGTGGAACTAGAACCAGTGATTCTTGGTTTTGAAATTCATAATTTTAGACAGTGTTATGTTTTCCACCATTTTTTTCATTTCCTTATCCCCTCCTCAGATCCAGGAACTGTGTGTGGAATTGCTTGAATGTGAATGAGTTGGATTTTTAAAAGTCTTTTGTCCTTTCCTTTCTATTATCAGGCAATGATCTTCTGGAAGGTTGTGCAAAGTGGGCATTGGATTTGGGTGAGTCACCTTCATGAGAAGAGTTGATGAAGGAGGAGTTAATGTCCTTTTTTTAAAACTTTTTATCTTGAATTAATTTTAGACTTACAGAAAAGTTGCAAAAATAGTCTTGAGAGTTTCCATATATCCCTCCCCTCCTTCCCCTAATGTTACCACCTTATATAGCTATGGCACAATGATCAGAACCAGAAACGTTAACATTGGTACAATACTGCTAACTAAAGATATTCTTTGAATTTCACCAGTTTTTCCACTAAGGTCCTTTTCTTATTCTAGTATCATGTCCAGGATCCCACACTGCATTTATTTCTCCTTAGTCGTGTGCAGTCTGTAAAAGCTCTTCAGTCTTTGCTTGTTCTTCCTGACTCTGACTTTTTTGACGAGTACTGATCAGTGATTTTGTCAGAGGTCCCTCAGTTTGAGTTTGTTGGATGTTTTCTCTGGATTAGACTGAATATTACAGGTATGATGTCGTGTCCTCAGTGCATCCTGTCACAGGCTTGTGATGTTGACGTGTCTTGTTATCGGTGATACTGACCTTTAGCACTTCATCAAGGTGGTTTCTCCTGGGTTTCCCACTGTAAAATTTCTATCTTTCCCTTTGTAGTTAATAAATATCTTATGGAAGATATTTGAGACTATGCAAATTCTGTTTCTGCTCAAACTTCGGCCCACTAATTTTAGCACTCATCAATGGAACTTGTCTGCAGTACTCCTAGTGTTTACCTAATGGTGATATTTTTCTACAGTTTTGTCTTTAGGCTTATGGTATCCAGTCAAGATGCTGTTTCCCAGAGTTTGTATGTTAGTCCTTTTCTTCTCATTCTTTCTAGTGTAGTTATGTTATCGATTTATAATAGGTTCATTTGTTAGTTTTTAATTCTATTAGGGTTCTCTCCATATCCTAGTTGGTTTTAGTTGTCTATTTTTTGAGTATGTGAAACACTACTATGGTTCTAAGAGTTAGAGCTATGCGAAAATACACTGAGTATCACTACCTCCTCATCCCTGCTACCCCACTCTCGTTTACCCCTTTTTTCCATCCTTTCTCACCTATCCCCGATAGGTAACCAGTCTCCTTAGTTTCTGATGTGTCTTTCCTGTATTTCTTTTGCACAAATGGGCAGATGCAGTATGTTTTCTTATATGCCCTTCTGTCTCAGGGCATTCTATAGATTCTATATATCATTCTATAGATAAATCCTTTGCGCTTTCCATTTTTCACTTAGCAGTATGTCTTGGCAATCACTTTATATCAATTCACAGAGTTCTTCCTCATTTTTTATAACTGCTGAGTATGCCATTGTGTAATGTACCATAAATGTATGAACACTAAGACTGTTTTCAATATTTTGCAATTACAAACAATACTGTGTATATACTTGTGTATGTGTATTTTTTCATTGTTGGAGGTGTATATTCAAGTGAAATGTCATAGATATATTTATCTTTTTTCCCTTCCAATCCTTCTTCTCTCCAGGGAACTGAGAGCTGTGTTGATGTTACTGTCCATATGATGTTTTCTTTCTTAGCTGTAACTACCTTTGAAGTCTGTGATCTCTGACAACAAGCATGAATTGTGGTCAAGAGTACATTATCTGAGAAAGTCTTTACTCCCTGACTAGGCCAATATTTTGGGTGGCATCCCCAGCCTTGTACTACAGTAGTGGTTCTCAACCTTGTCTGAACATTAGAATCACCAAGGAGCTTTTACATATTAATGCAGAATCTCCAGGTGTGGAGATACCAGCACCTGTATTATTTTGAAGCACCCCCAGAAATTCCAATGTGCAGCTAAGGCTGAGAACCACTAGATTAAATCCTTGAAATGTTACAAGAATCTCCTGGCCCCCACCATATTCCCTGTCATTTGAGCAAGCTGCCAGAGCACATCCTGGCTGACTGGGAGGTGCTCCACTCAGAATTCTTGATTTTTACCTAGAGGAGAGGTAAGTACCAGTCGGCCTAATTTAGGGAGGATCTGTAAAAGTTTGTAATGAAATAGAAGTTCAGCCTAGCTAAGAATTAGTTTCTTCTTTCTCACAGAGTCTGAATGACAGGTACAAGTTGCTTCAGGCCAAGAAGGAAGAATATTAAATTTCCTTTTCTCTCCTTCAACACACAAATCCGGGTATCTTCCTTTGTAGTTAGTAGTATTAATAAGCTCCAACTAACACATGTAAAGCAAAGTCCACCAGTTATACTGTTTTTCATCAAATCAAAGATACCATGAGTTATGACACACAGTTATCTTATTCTTAGCACTAAGAAAAAAAATCCACTGCTAAATAATTATGAGATATAGTCAAATGAAAGATATACCCCTATTTGAGAGATTTTAAAATATGGAAAAATGTGCAAATTAGAACTGATGAAATACAGTAGATCTTTAGCCTAGACTTCATCTTTGAACAGCAAGTCTATATGATCACTTGAATGTCGCACAGGCTCCTTAAACTTGAAGTGTCCCAGTCTGGATTCTTCATCTATCTTGCCAAAGCCGTTCTGTTTTCTGCATTCTCTGACCTTGGAAACGGAGCCACCCAAACTAGAAACACAGAAGTCCTGCCAGACTCCCCACCGGGTCTCATCCATCTCTCTTGAATGTGTTGCCTTCTCTCTCTCCCTCTACCGTGTTTGAGTCAGGTCTTCCTTATCTCTAATCAATCCTTCCTCTACCCTGTCCTTGTTTTCTTCCTTAAACATCATGACCAAATTATTCCTTGCTTAAAAATCCTACAAGATGAATATTCCATCCAAAAAATAGGCAAAGGATATGAACAGGCCACCTCACAGAAGAGAAAAATACACATTTATACATGTGAAAAGTTGTTGACCCTCATTATGAAATAAACGTAACAGTGACATTTTTTCACCTATCCAGTTGGCAGAGTTTGAGAGAACTGATAATAACGAATGATTACAAGAGTGTGCAGAAATATTCCTATACACCATTGTTGGCAGTACGACATTTTGGTGACATTTCGGCAATGTTTTGGATATGTGAAGGAACGCAAAGTGCCTAATATCTGTGAGCCTCAATTCCTGTATTTTCAAACAGGGCTGATATATACCCTGATGGCCTCAAGGAAGTGAGATAATTTAGGTGAAAGTGATTTGTAAATGATAATAGCTAAGATTCACTGGCGCTTGCGGTTCTAAGGGCTTCATGTGTTAATTTACTTATTTTACTTAATCTTTACGCTAATCCTGTAAGTACGATCATCATCCCCATCTTACGTAAGAAAACTGAGGCCAGAGGGTCAATGCTGCCCACGGGGCGGCGGCAGCAGGGAGTGGAGCTGGGAGCGCTGGCGCTAAAGCTCGATAAGGGGATCTAGCTCGAGCCCTCCGCGCGGCGAGCCCGCGCCGACCCCGCCCGCCTGTGACGGCCGCAGCACCGTCACCTGTTTGGACAGGAGGGGCGGAAACCGACCGCCCGGCGAAACCGCCCGCAGTCCGGCTGGCGGAGCTCGAGCGCTCAGCACCCCCATCGGGGCTCCTTGTCAGCGCCCGGTCAACGCTGCGTGCGCGGGAGCGCTCCGAGACGGCCCGACAGGCCAGCGCACGCTGCTGTGAGATAGCGGCATATCTTTACAAACGTGACACAACGTTGACGACACCGAGACAGGCGACAACCAGCCTACACACACGGAGAGCACGCGCCTGGGCCCCAGCTGCTCTCCACACCCGAACCCTGCTTTCCCACTTCAGTCGGACTTACCCGGAACCTTTCCTGCGTGGTCTGGTGCCTCCTGCGGGGACAACCCCGATGAACACACAACATAGCAAGGACTAGTAGTCTAACTATATGCCTGAACTTTCTAGCTCACTTACATGATCTGGGAGAAACTAGCTTCAAATATTTGCACTTTTTAAAGAACTAAGTGACGGCGTTATTTTTATCCTTTAAAAAATATCACAATTAAATGATTCCGAGAGAGTTTGTTCTGCTTTTTGGTTAGGCATATATATCGACAGCCCACATGAAATGAACAAGGAAGGCGGGGGAAGAAAGCGGAAGCCGCGGGGTCTTCTCAGCCAGAAAGTCTCCGGAGCTTGCGCCAGGCTGCTTGCGGCGCCCCCAACTTAGACGCAGGTGTTGGAAGCGGGCGGGGGAAGAGGCGTCGTTGCTGGAGCTGAGACCAGACGGCCAGAGTGCTCAGGGATGAACCTCGAGTTGCTAGGTGAGGAGGGCTGTGGCTGCGTCTTAGAGAACCCTTCGGTCCTGGAAAGGAGGGAACCCGGGCAGGAGGGGACTCGGGCTGCAGCCTTAGGGACACAGTTGTGCGGTGGCTCTCGGGCGCTCTCGATATGGAGCAGCAGCAGCAGGAGGAAGCGCAGCTTCTGCCCGAGCAGAGTGCATTGCCTTTCCCGAGGCCACTTTTCAGATCAGGTGTGGAGCGATAGAGAGAGTTTGTGACTTGGTTTTGATTACAAGGTTCACTGGTGCTGAAGTAGCCCAGGGCAGGCAGGACCAGAGTTACTGGGGAAGGAATCAGAGGAAGTGAGGCTTGAGGTGACGCTTCGAAGACTTGTCAGGAGTGGGTGCCTGGACAGGTTAAATCTTTTTGTAGAAACACGGGATGCCTAAGGAGGGGAGCTTGGAGATCTTCTAGTGGAAGTCTTTTATTGAGCAGACGAAAAAAGGCTCAGAGGGTGGTGACTTGAAGGCACTAAGGAAGTAAATGGCATACTTGGCACTGGAATCCACTTATCTTGACTTTCTGTTTAAGGTCCTTAACTACCAGGGACGGTATGTAAAACACCGAGGTATGAACTGCAGAAGCAGTTACCTTTCGTTACCCTCTCTTTAAGTCATTTCCTCCCTACCCCTTACCTGGCTTGTTTAAAAACTGGAGGTCTTTTCTTCTAGGGTTTCATTAGGTATTTGGCATGGTAGCCTAGGGGTGTCTGAGGTTTACTAGAACTCCTAAACGACTTGCTCTATTTGATGGTACTTTTTTCTTAAAAAAAAATTTCAGAAGATATACTGCTGTCCAAAGGGCTACAAAGATATGAAAGAAATGGTCTTTACCTTTAAGGAGCTTTTTGTTAAGCAGAGAGAGTAAGGTGGTTGTGTAAATAGCCATAATATATTGCAGAACATAGACCAGCCTTTAAGAGTCATTAGCAAGTGCTAAGAACATGTAGAAGAGGGAATGAATATCTTTGGGGTAGGGGAAGAAAGGTAATCAGGAACAAAAAAACCTGTGGAGGAGTTGGGGTTTTAGTGGACACTTAAGATTGGTAAAAAATTGACACACTGAAATACGAAGATATGGGGAGGAATGCTCATTAGGAATGTGCCTGAGCTAAGACATCAGTGAGAGAAGACCTGATGAATTTTCTTGCTTGGCCCTGCTGTGGGTACTGTGAATAAAGAGAAGGCCAAGAGATGGAGTTGGTGCCTTCTATTTGGTGGAGGCTCTTGAGTGCCCAGCCAGAAAGTTTGTGCTTTTTAAGGAAGGGAAGGCAGATCCATTGAATTGTTTTGACCTGATTAGTAACTCAATCAGAGCTATGATTTTTTTAAGATTTATTTGACAGCAATATGTAGTTGAGTCTTGGAGGGTGTGAAACCAGTATGGAGGGCTAGAACAGATGAGTGATAAAGAAGGCCTGAGCTAGGAAATGGAAAGAAAAGGCATTGAGGAGGGAGAGTTGACAGAATTTGAGAATTGATTGCATGTGGTGGTGGTGGTGGTGGGGCTGGTGGTGAGAAAGAGTGAAGTGAAAAATGCTGGGAGCCAATAGTGGTATTACTGACAAACATTTAAGGACATTGGGAAAAGACAGCATTGGGTATGTTGAGTGTGGATTTGGGGTTTAGGAGATAGGTTTGGATTTATGAGAGTTGTAATCCTCCTACAGGTGGGCTAATTAAAACCTTGTGAGTAGATAACAAGACCAAGGGAGAAAGTGGGAGGGGCAGAAAAGAAAACTACTGAGGACAGCATCTTGGACAATTACCTATATTTAGAGGATAGGATAAGAGGAGGAATAAATGATAATAAATAAACTAACAGTTATATAGTACTTACTATCAGCTAGGCGTATTTTCAAGTGCTTTCCATATATTTATCCATGTAGAGGTAGAAGAGAATACAGGTTGGTGGGGTGTCTTCCATAGAAGCCACTTTTAGAGCATTGGAGGCTGAGAGCTGAGATAGGGCTGCTCTGTTTAGTCCTTAGGCACCTTGGGGCCCCTCAGCAACTTGAGCAAAGCCAGATTACAGTGATTTGAGGAAGGTGTGGGAGATGAAATGGAGGCAAACGGTTGACCCTTATTTTAAAAACTTAAGGATGGAGGAAAGGTGGTAGACAGGCTAGTACCTTGAAAGAGATGGCAGAGTCACGGGAAAGGCTGTTTTGGAATGATACAGAAGATTCATGAGGGTGAAATTTGGGAAGGAATATTTAGCATTGGAAGGTTAGACAATTTAAAAGAATCTTCTGTCCAAAAGATATAAATCGCGATGAAAATGACTGGGTTTTAGAGCAAGAAAGTTCATGACTGCAGATAAAAAGGAGAAAGTAACAGAAGTGATGTGATTGTGGGACCACACTAAAGGATAGCTGGCCAGATAGAGGAAAGAGATGATCATGTGTTCTTAATGTGGACACTCAAGATACTAATTTTACTTCTGCAACTACTTTTTGAGCCCTTGCTGTGTATCAGGCAGTGTGCACTGGAGATACAAAGTTAAATAAGAGTTTTTCAAACTTATTTTTACCACAACTCACAGTAAGAAATATATTTTCTATCTTAATCCATTATATATACATATACGTATAACTAAGTTTCTTGAAATTATGCTTAATCCTGGTTATGCTCAATGTCCTCTGATATCTTCTAATTATTAAAAAACGTTGTGGCTCACTAAATTGATTTATCCGTTTATGGTAAATTGAGTCCTACCGTTTGAAAAACATTGAAATAAGGTACAACCTTTGACATGGATAAATGCATAGAACTAGGAGGAGAAACGTAAACCAGTAACTGTGTGTAATATGGAACCATGGTAAGTGAATGCATTATGGGAATCCAGCCAAAAGAGCAGTTAATTCTGCATTGTTGGTGGCAGGGTGGCAGTAAAATTTGGGGATGATTTTACAGAGGCAGTGCCATTTAACCCTGTCTGGAAAGATAGAGTAGGATTTTTCCAGAGAGGCAAGTTGGAGACGGTAATTACCAGTGCAGAGAACTGCGGGGGCTAAGGTTCTGAGGCACGAATGTGTGTGGGATGTTCAGGAAATGGTTAGTAGTCTACATCTAGTGGTTGGGGTAGGTTATGCGAGGTTCTGTACTAGGTGCTGATGGGGAGTTAGCCAAAGATAAAATGGAAAATACTGGTTGGGCCAGATTGAAATTGTTTCTTAAAATTACACTTGGGAGTTTAGTATATTGTTTAGCAAGGGAGATATTTAAGGAAGTGAGTGACATGATGAGTTTTGGGGCTTAGAAAGTTGGCAGTGGCAGCTTTGTAAAGGATTGATGAGGGAGGCAAGACAAGCCAAGAAAATGTGGTAATTATGATAGTGATGGCATTGGATCGGGGTAGGGCAGGATCAGTTATCTAGACATCTGCAAGTTGCATTTCTCTAAAAGAAGTGCCACTAACTGTGTCATCACCTGTTAGATTGTGGAAGCAGAGTGGAAACTGCTACCCTGGACCTAACTGTTACAGTAGGGAGGAATTGGTTGGCAAGTAAAAAATAATAGGACCATTGGGAGAAAAGGTCCATGAAATGTTAGAACTCATGATAATCAAGTCTTTAAGGAGGCAGATGTTCAGCAATTTAGAGAAGAGACATTATTCCATGTCATGAGACTGGGAGGAAGAAAGCTGGAAAGGCTGGGGAAACTAAAAGGCGGTTTGGAGAAACGATCCTAACAGAAAAAAAGAGGAGGCACCTGAAGAAACTGGTGTGATTGTGCTGAAAACAGTTTAACCTCCGAGTCCAAAAAGGCATGTACAAAACAAGGGCACATAGCTGAAGGTGAGCATGTGAGGGTGGCACAGGCTTTTAAGAATAGTGTCAGGAAAAAGCTAATGTGCTTGAAGGCCAAGATTGTAAAAATGAGGCAACTAGAGAGGGTGTTTAACATTATTGGAGTGTGAAGAGCAAAGAAGTTTCCCGTTTGGGCTGGATGGTGTAATACCAAAAGTGTTCATTCACAACCCACAGACGTCTTTTGTGTGCCTGCTGTGGACTTCATAAACAAAGGGGAGTGCAATGCTTAGCTGCTTATTTTTCTTTTGCCTTCACTGGGAAAAGGATGTTTTTTTTGGAGTAAATAAAGTGAACATTGGTTGCTGCCAAGAAAAGCCCTCAGTGGGTAGAGATTTTCGCTGGGTCGCTTAGCCCCCTTCTCTTGGTCAAATTGCGTTCCTCGGCCTTAGGGAGCTTGCAAGTACAAGAACTGTTGGTGGTTTTTGAGATCTGGGGAGAGAAAGGAGGACATGTTCCAAGAAAGGAGATGGGGAAATTTTGACTTTAAATAAAGGGCAGGTGTGTTTTGCAAATCATAGACTAGTAACCTTGAGGTCAGATTTGGGCAAGATTCTAGAGGCTTTTTTTTTTTTAATAATTTTATTTATTTATTTATTTATTTTTCCCCCAAAGCCCCAGTAGATAGCTGTATGTCATAGCTGCACATCCTTCTAGTTGCTGTATGTGGGACGCGGCCTCAG